GCGGCGCGTCAGGGCGCGGCCCTAGACCACAGCCTGCTGGCTCACGCCGGCCCCACGGACATCGACGTGGCCATGTTCCACCGCGATGCTGGGGGAGGTAAGGCTCAGCCCTGCACCAGGGTTCGGGGCCAGCCCCACGCGTCCTGAATTGACTCCTGGCCCAGGGAAACTCTTCCTGCTGTGGGCTCTGGCTGCGTGGTTATGTCCTTCACTCTGCGTTCAGCTGTGACTCGCAAACGTGTCGTGGATTGGAGGGAGAGACAACGACTGTGTTGCCTAGAACCCCAGACAGGTGGCAAAGGGCACAGCCAGCCTCCAAGGAGGCAGAAATGGAGGAGGCAAGAGACAGGGCATAGGCTGTTGTGGGATCCCTGGGGACACTGGGCTCCCCAGTAAGACATTTGAGTCACTGGAGTGAGACCAGCCCTCCACCCTCACAGCTGGGGCATAGGACAGGTGACCAGAGGCTGAGAGAGATGGGTTTGGTCAGCCTGGAGGAAGAGGAGGCAAAGGAGATGTTAAGGCTATCTGTAACTGCCTTACAGAGAGCTATGGTGAGACGGAGCCAGGCTGCTCTCTCAGGCTCCTGGTGATAGAGCCAAGGGAGCAGGAGCAGGCTGCTGCCGAGGGGAGGGCAGTGAAGGGTAAGGGGGGCTGTCATCCTCACGAGTCGTCAGCCCTGGGGTGGTTCTGCCTTCATGGCCCTGCCGCCAAGAGCCTCCCCCACCTCGATTCCAAACATCTCCCCAACACGCCCCTTGTCCCTGCAGACCAGGACTCGGACTCGGACAGCGACCTGTCTCTGGACGAAGAGCGCAGCCTCTCCATCCCGTCCTCGGAGAGCGAGGAGAACGTGCGCCTGCGCGGCCGCTTCCCGCGCCACTTCAAGCGGGCGGCGCACAGCGAACGCCTCCTCACCGACCCTGCCAACACCACGCCCAAAGGCAAGGCTGGGGCTCTGGCAGGGCGAGGGCGAGCTCGGGTCCCTGGGCCCAGGCCCCATCTTGCAATGGCTTCGACTGCTGCTCACAGAAGTGTTCTCTCTTTTTTTCCCCGGGGCCTCTTTTGCTGTGTCCTTCACCAGACGTGGATGGTAACGACCTCATGTCGTACTGGCCGGCGCTGGGCGAGTGCGAGGTTCACCCCTGCTCCCTGCAGAAGTGGGGCTCTGAGCGGAAGCTGGGATTCGACATCAACAAGGATGCAGCCAACAACAATCAGCCAGACCTGGCCTTGACCAGCGGGGATGAGAACTCCCTCACCCAGACACAACGGCAAAGAAAAGGTAATAGCCTGGAGCAAGCGGGCAAGAGTGGCCTTGCCTCTCTCAGGTTGACTTGGCCCTGAAGGCTCACCATCAGATCCACCTTGTCATGTCCTTGGGGAGGTCTGGCTTATCTCCCCCAGCTTTTGGGCTTTTTTTTCCACTGTTGGGCAAAGATCTTATTTCTCTTTCTGTCCGGTGCAGGGATTTTGAAGAACCGTCTCCAGTACCCTCCAGCTCTCCAAGGCCTGCCGTCTGTTGGCAGGATGACCAACGAGCTGACATGGTACAAGACCTCCACACTAGGTCACAGGGCTGTCCCTGCCGCCTCCTACGGCAGGATATACTCTGGGGCAGGCAGCCTGTCTCAGCCAGCCAGCCGGTACTCGTCACGGGAGCAGCTTGACATGCTGATGAGGAGACAGATGTCCCGGGAGCAGCTGAGCAGACACAACTCAGGAGAGTGCTTGGAAGCTGTGCCCAGCCAGCATGGGTCCAGGGAGGAGCTTGACACTATCCTCAGTAGGCATGGCTCCACTGAACACCTGGAAAGTATCCCGAGCAGACACAGATCTAGGGAAAACTTGGATCTACTTGCTGCTAGGCCCAGTCAGAGAGATCATGGGAACACGCTGCCCCGGAGGCAGGGCTCTAGAGACCACCTGGACACTTTACCCTGCAGATTTGGATCAAGAGATCAGCTAGACTGTGGGCTGGCAAGAGAGGTCTCTAGAGAGTGGCTAAACACATTGCCAAGTAGGCAAGTGTCCAGAGACCGCATAGACACGTTACCAAGTCGAGATACTTCTCGAGAACAGTTGGATTTGCTTTCTAGAAGACAAACTTCAAGGGACCAGCTAGCACCGGCTAGACAAACTTCAAGGGAGCAGCTGGACTTTCTGTCCAGAAGATCTAATTCCAGAGAGCCTCTGGACACAGTGCCTCGCAGGCATCCCTCACAGGACAACCTGGGGAGTCTCTCTAGGAGGCAGCTGTCTAGGGAAAGCCTAGAGCCGCTGTCAAGGAGGCAGCCTTCTAGAGAGAACCTGGAGGCCGTTCCCAGCCGACATCCTTCCACTGAACAGCTAGATATCCTTTCTTCCATCCTTGCTTCTTTTAACTCCTCTGTCTTGTCCTCGGTGCAATCTTCCAGCACACCGTCAGGCCCCCAGAGCACCACCACCCCCTCTGCTATGCAGACCTCGACACCCTCTGCCATGTGCCCCTCGACGCCTCGCTCCACCACCTCCCACAGCATTTCAGAGCTGTCACCAGACTCAGAGTAAGTGTGTCCCTCCCTCAGCCAGGCCTTGTTCTGCTGGTCTGGTGCCTCGTCCACCTGCCTGGCTTCTTCTCGAAGGGGGGCTTGTCTGGGGGGAGAGGGATGTGTAAGAGGTGAGCCCCTGGAGTGAGTGGCAGGTGTCTCCTGGTCCCGAGTGGTGACAAGGCAGGAAGGACGCTGGGCTGCCACAGCTCCAGGCGCTCGCAGTGCAGCACAAGCAGGAACACCAGTGGACCTGGGTGCCCGCTCTGCTGGGAGCGTGGGCCCACAGCTGTGCCCTGGCGGGGCTCGGGGAAGATGCCCTGTGCAGCCAGGCTGACCCCACGGCTGGTCCCCTCGCTCAGGGCCAGCTCTAAGTCCCAGCGAGTGGATGCGTGTGAGAGCCAGGCTGGCTGGAGAGGAGGAGGGGGCCTGAGTCCTACAGGAGCCTGCCT